AAAGAAACCAGAGGGTAATAACCCATACCAAGCCAACTGCCTAGATGAAAATCTACGCTGTAAATCCTCCTCCACTACTGCTCTTTACCTTCCATCTGCCCCTTCCCATTATTTCTTTCTTCTCTTCACCCATCCCTGGGGTGGGAGAGCACCAGCAGATGATGACGCTTAGGCTATGTCTACACTACTGTCGTATCGACGCTCCAGCGATCTATGCACTGGGGGTCGATTTAACAGAAAAGTATCCCAAAATACCTCATGAATGTCACCTACTTGATTCTCCATGGGCTTCATTGCTCCAGTGCAGTTCCAGGTAGCTGGGATGGCCTGCTATGTTTTGGTTTACAGTGGTGTGGAACTGCTAATGCAATTTGAGGGGAACTGACTATAAGAAAGGTTTGATTAAGATTAGTTAGGTGCTGTGTGCTCCTCTACTCCTACTATTTGGAGTTTTATTATTTGTATTACAGCAGCATCCAGAGGCCCCAATCAGGATCAGGGCCACATTGTGCTAGAAGCTGTATAAACAGTCCCTGCTCTGGAAAGCGGCTGGTCTGCATCACAACACGAGTTCGAGTCTAGCCAGGTCTGTAGTGACTGAAAGCTGTCACCATCTCTTTACCTGTTCATGGGCCACTGTGAAGTGAGTCCAAGTACCATAACAGCTCAAAAAAACCACCACCCAAACTAGCTCTAATTGGCTATGGCCCTTCTTTGCTTCCCAAAGCTTGTAGGGCTGCTCTAAATCACACTAGGGGCTGGGCAGGCCTCTCAGCACAGCCTCAGAATATAGGGAGAGGAGAGTCATTCCCCATCCCTGCCGTGAGCACTGGAATGCAGTAACTGAGAATCAGGCCCTGGTGGGCTTGTTGTCCCTAAGGAAAAGGTGCATTTTAAACATGTCAACTAACACATTAACCAACATGTATTAAAGCCCTGGTGTAGACATTATGAGGCTTCCAACCCACCAGGATTGTCCTGCAGTCTCCAGGAATCATAGAATCACAGGGACTGCAAGGTCATCTAGACTCACCCTCTGCCAAGATGCAGGATTTGTTGTGTCTAAACCATCCAAGACAGATAAGATCAATCTTTAATTAAAGATTATGTCATGTGATGAAACCTCCAGGAATACGTCCAACTAAAAGTGGCAACCCTAATAGACAAGGCAAGTTGTAGGTGTAACATGGGTTAGCTGTTTCGGTAAACACCAAGTAAATCCTGTTGATAAACAGCAGACTTGGGTCTGCACTGCTGTCTGTCCAGCAGCTTTCACAGGAACTAAATTACCTTCAAAATTGGAAATGAAGGGATTGCAGCTGGCTCTAGAGTAGGCCGTCTGGTCTGCTGAATGAACAACTCTTGGCAAGTTGTGACAGTTTGTAGTAACATTTTTTTAACTGAAGCAGCCAGCTCTCAAAAAAAACTCACCCTGTAACATTCCTGATACCAGTCGGACAGATTTTCTGTATTAAACAGAGTACATGCCTTACAACCCATTTGTCTCTATTCGCACACAAAGGGTCTAGCACCACTGAAGGCTTGAGCCTGCAAGGCTCCTAACAAGGTAAGCTGCTAAGAGAGACAGGCATTCTGGGTAAAGGTCAGGAAGTTGCTCTCGGTTTGTGAGAGTGAATTAACCATGCGACAGTGCTGGGTAAATAGCTTGTTGTTTGAATTTCTCTGTGCTTATTTGCAGCGTGACACATTTGATCTTTGTACAGTCATCACACACAAATGTGCACAACACTCTCTGTTTACAGAGTCAAACCTAGGTGTTAAAGAGAAATACAGACAAATTAACAGTGCCAGATTAGTCAAGGGCTAGAGTCAGACCTTTCCATGCTGTAGCCTTAGGCAGCAATCTCTCATTCCCAACTTTAACTTCATCCCACACAAGCCTGAAATCACTGTGGTCCAATGGTTAGTGCACAGGACAGAAAGGCAGGATTCCAAGGACTTGGCCAAGAGAGACTAAAGGGAGGCCAGGTACAGAACCAGTTTAAATAAATGTAAATGTATTATACACAGAAAACATGCATGAAGAAACTGATAACTCAGAAATGGTATAACTTCAAGCTGCTAGTCAGAAGATTTTGCTCTTGGCTCCATCACTCATCTATTGTGTGATTTTTCAGCAAGTCACTCACTACAATTCCATATGCCTCATTTTCCTGATCTAAAAAGCCTCCTCAGGTTTCGGATACTGTTTGGCTGCGGTGGTCTTGTAAATCATGCACATAATCTGACTCCTGAAACCTAGTCTCAGCATGGTAACATGCCAGATTCCTGTCATTGCTCTAGGACAACAGTTACTCATCTTACCTAAGGAATCAGGAACCTATGAGAGAAGGTAATTTGTCTGACACTTGTAGGGAGAAGCCAGGAAGGGCTACTTTAGATTGCATATACTGCAGGGAGTTATGGAGCAGACAGGAAAATATACAACATAACCCTATATCTGAGGTAGAACGCCACACTGTTTGCTATTGCCAGCATACACAAGGTATATACTCATTTCAGATATTTTAAAAGTAGCATAGACGAAGCACTAAAGCGGATGGCAGCTGTCTGATATAGTAGTGAAGGTTGGAAAAATCGGATTTTATATATAAAATATTCAAGACACATAGTTTTGATTTGTTGTTCTCCATTTGTGTGTGTGTGTCTGCTAGTGGAAAGGTGACTGAGATTCCCAGCATTTCCTATTTCCTTTTTACATAATTTTCTGATCAGTTCTACCAATTGTCTTCATTCTTCCTTTCAAGCCCCCCGATTGTTTTCTTATTAAAAGAAATGCCACTACATCTTCTCCAGACTTTATAGATTAAAACAAAATAAACCCTCCCTGCAGGGCACTTTGTTTTTAATCATTCATCCTCATTTGCTTTATGTATTATGGCTGTAAGAATACTATGTAACTTTAGGTACTTATGGCAGTCATTATTACAAATTGCCTGGAACTTTTGCCCCCCAAACCCAGAATCTGCCCAAGCCCATTAATGGCAAACATTGCTGTTTAATAGAGTTGGTAGGAAAATGTTGATTGCTTTGAAACTTTGATGAAAAAGAAAAATTATGTGAAATCTTTAGTAAAATTTTCTCCATTCTCTCTCCCTATTTTCTAACGAATTCTACAGCTGGATGGGAAATATGAAAAATAACCAAATTAAAAACAAACAAAAAAACCACAGAAAAAAACCACTATGTTGTTCATAGTAATTTTTCTTTTCTGTTTTCTTCCCATCTCTACTGTTCTGCATCTCAGTTGCCTTTCCCAGTGTGAAGCAAGAGTCGATCGTCAGAGCTTGCCTGGATGCTATTCTGTACAAATCACTAGTGAGCATCTCAAAGTCCTGAAGAGGATTGAGGTATATTTTTAGGATTAAACATTAGGGGGTGTTGTCTAGAGATTGAAGAAGGGGTCTGGAGGTCAAGACTCCTGGGTTCTGTTCTCAACTTTGGCACTGATTTGCTATGTAACCATTGGCAAACCATTTAACTTCCAAGCCTCAGTTTCCCCAGGGCATAATAATACCTAACTCGCAGAGGTATTGTGAAGCTCAATATTTACAAAGCACTTTGAGATCCATTGATCAAAGGGTTTATTCAGTGTAGGTGCTAAATTTTGTTTTTAGCAAAAATCCCCTAACCTACATATCACAGGAAGAAGGAAATGACAAAATAGAGGCAGAGAAAAAAGAGAAATTAACTAATGAATGGATATTGCCCAGTGTAACTGTGTATAAACATACTACCAGGGTTAGGTGCAGGATTCTTACCTTCTTTTGCACCTGGCTTCCATAAAAGCTATTCCTGCTGCTGCTTAGCATGATAAAAGGTATCAAAAGAGCTCAATAGTTCAAGGCCACTGGACAGACACCAAATCAAGGTGTGATACCAACACTACTCAGCAATATGCAGGAAGAAAGAAACATTTCCCCAACTCTATTTTTAATTGTTGCTCTGCTTCCCCACAGACCACATGTTGCAGCACAAGTCTCAATTAACATCCCCAATATTACATGCCCTGCTGCACGAGTGATTTATGCCTCACATGCCAGTAACTTCGCAGAAGGCTGGATTGGGATCTGAAATCCTCTTGGAGATTCTTCATGTGACGAAATGCCCCCCACAGGCCTTGATGTTCTTTAAATTGATGGATGGGACCACCCAATGCTGAGATGAAACATGACATGGATAACAAAGCCAACACAAGCTCCCCTCTGCCCATGATTTCTAAACTATTCATCCTGATCTCCCTGCTGTGAAGTCCTCTCTGAGCTGGCAATTGGCACTAGCAGTTTGTCAGGCTCTGTTTTTAAAAACCTTTATCCCGAGGCACTGATGCATACCAGAGCAAACCTTGTAAGTGTGGTTTATAGTATCACTGTGGTTTGACATGTTAAAACAAGCACAGTGACTCTCCTGTCACCAGTGATTTTTTTTTGGGGGGAGGGGGTAGGTGGGAGTTGAATTGGGAATGATACTTGATCCATATTCAAGTACCAAACTATCCACCCATGAAACATTATTGGTTTCCCATTAGGAGAGGGGGCTGAATACTAAAAAGTGTTCCTAAACATTTTATTCCAAATAGCTCTTCAGTTCAACCAGGCCAGTTTTTATTTGCTCTTTGCAAACGTTTCCATGCACAGGTTTTTGTGCTGATCTCGATCCAGATAACCATATGCTCAAGTGAGCGAGGTATTTGTGTGCTATTCATTACAGGTGAATTTCACTTGTGCATAAGCCTAGCCCAAGGCTTATGCACAATTTAAATCTTCACAAATTAGGGCTAGATGTTGCATAAGCATTGTGCTGGCCTTTTGCATAAGGATGAGTTTCACCCCGATTTCATTTCTACTTAAAAACGAAGCACTACGTTACCATGAACCAGATCCTCAGTTGGATTAAATCAGCATAACTTCATTGATTTCAATGGCGATATGGTGATTTACACCAGTTGGGACTATAGCCCCATATGTCTCAGATGACCAGTTGTGTAGTGAACAGTCAAAACAAAAGGTGCATGATCAATCCTCAGGCCGGAAATTGTTCATGCAAATGATTCTGTGACTGCTTGTGAATGGTGAACACATTTGCAGCTCTCTGCCTTAGTTCGCGAATCATTCACAAGCAAAAAATGTGCTGGAGAATTTATTTGTGGTGCAGAACTTGAGCAGCTCTACCCATTAGCATAATGTTTTCAAACTACACGTGAAAAGGCAGTCCAAGCTATTCAGTTCCACTTTGCAAAACTCAAATATTTCTGCAAAATTGGCCAACCCTCCCCTGCCCCCATTTTTTTCTATTTATCAACCCTGTTTGCTTCCCATGCCCTTCTAGCACATTGTGTGAAAATACAAGAAACTTGAGCCTTAAAGGCATGGTTTTCCAAACCACCTATGTTCTACAGGACCTTGTCCCCCAGGTCATACCTGTTTATCTAGCCACTCCTGGTGGGCTTGCAGTGTTCCCCGAGACTCTTTAGGCCAGCTGGGCAGCAATGCCATCTTTTCCAAAACCATGTGTCCCACAAGTCTCTTGGTATCTGGGTTTTCTCCAGCTAGCAGGCCTGAAGATCCTCTGGGACTGGCTCAGAAGGGAGTAGCAGGAACAACCAGGTTGTATCTCAGCAGGGTTGTAGAGCAGGACTGAAGGCTCTCTGTGACTGTTACACCAGGGAAATGAGGTGAGACTCAAGAGGTTTCAAGGACCTTGGGGAAAAAAATAAGGAAAATTTTGTAGTTGTTACATTTAAACTGGTCCCTTGAGGTGTTGGCCTGAAGGGACTTTGCCTTTAGGAAAAAAGTAGGAGTTGTGCAAGGAGAGAAACCAGATTTTTGCCTTGTATAAAACATCGCTGAGTGTTGTGGATGGGGAGATGAGGTGGGGGAGGGAGAGAGGGGTGGGTAGATTACTTTTTAAGAATCTTAAGGTTTTTGCAGGGACAATTCTTTTCAAATTCTAGAGTTTGGTTTGCTGTAAAATGAAGCAATTTGTCACTGAACTGAAGCAAAGTGCTTGTGACCTTTACAGAGACAAGACACACATCAAATACCAAATGTTTTTACTGTCTTCCCCTCTCCCCTCTTTATTGTAAAAATACTACAAACCATACACAGAATAATCATTTAGAAAAACAAGCAGTTAGTGAGGGCTTTCTGCAAAGCTGGATAGAAACCTTCATGCTAACAGCAATGTCACAAACAAGCTGCAACAACCCTGAAGTCACTTCCTTGGTATAATTTTTAGTGACATTAGAAGATCTGAACCCCAGCCTTCAGGTGCTAAATGATGTTGCTTAGCAACACACACACACACACACACACACACACACACACACACACACACACAC